GGGCGGGCTGGGACCCCGTGGGTCCCTGCAGGTGGGCGCCAGCGGTGCCTCTGCCTGTCCCTTTCAGACCGTTCTGGAGCAGCTGAAGCAGGGGGGATGCCCACACGTTGTTTTCACCGACTGCCGGCACGACATCAATGTCAAAAAGGTAACGGGCCAGCAGTGCATGGGCAGCCCCACCCTCAGTGCTGATCTCCCAGCCCCACAGAGAGGCCCCAGTGCCCCATTGCAGGAGGGGACACTGGCTGGTGCAGCTGCCTTTCCAGCCTACCCGTGACCTCTTCTTGGCCTCCATTTTGTGCATCCTCCTGGCACGGTGCCCTCCAGCTGAGCAGCTGCTGCCAGCCTGGGCACAGAGCTGCCATTCCAGCCCTTCTCTCTGTTCCTCTGCAGATTGTCCCTCTGGTTGCCAAGCTGGTGGGTGACAGCCCACGCTACCATAGGGCTGAGGTGAGAGCTGGTGTGTGCACAGGGTGTGGGGGCAGCCCTCGGGGGGACAGGGCTGCTCACACCTGTGCCAGGAGCACTAGTTGGCTTGTCCCACCATCCTGGTTGCCCCTTGCTCCTGGGGTGGCTGGCCAAGAGCTTCCTTGCTTCCAGAACTCTGAGTACAGCATCCTGGTGATTGGTGTGCCCAACGTGGGCAAGTCCTCGCTCATCAACTCCCTGCGGAGGCTGCATCTCAAAAAGGGTATTTGTGTGTGTTTGCCTGGACTTGGGGGGGGGCGAGGAGGGGCAGAGTCTCTGCTCTGACCATGTCTCTCCTTGCCCTGAAGGGAAAGCCACTGCTGTGGGTGGTGAGCCAGGTGTCACCAAAGCCGTGCTGACCAGAATCCAGGTACTGTCCCCGTGGTGCACCCAGCTGGGCACTGGCCTCTGCCTCCCTCTGTCCTCTCACACCAGCTCTAGAAAACTTGCAGGCACACAGAGCTGACCCCAGAGGGTTGCTCCCATCCCCTTTCATAGAATCACAGACTGGTTTGTGTTGGAAGGGACCTTCTTCATCCAGTTCCAACCCCCCTGCATGGGCAGGGACACCTCCCACCAGCCCAGGCTGCTC